TTATTTGACAGAGATTACAAGTAGACAGAGAGGCAGGCAGATGCGGGGGGCGGAAGCAAGCTCCCCACTGAGCAGAGAGCCCAGCATGGGGCTCCATCCCAGGACACTGGGATCGTGACCTGAGCTGAAGGCATAGGGTTTAACCCACTGAGCCACCAGGCACCCCCAGTTTGACGGTTTCTTATAAAGTTAAACACACACTTATCCTATGACCTAGCACCCCATTCCTTGTTAGTGAGCCAAATAAGCAGTCACTAGAAAAGCTAAATGAAGAGACCCACTCAAAATGCTATGAAAAGGAGTGCCTGGGTGGCTCTGTCAGTTAGGTGTCGCACTTGATTTTGGCTCAGGTCATGAGATGGAGCCCCATGTTGGGGTCTGAGCTCCACACTGAGTCTCCTTGAGATACTCTCCTTCTCCCTTTGCCCCTCCCCCCATGCTTGCTCACTTTCTTGTGCTCTTCCTAAAAATCTTAAAAACCAAAAAAAACCCCACAAAACAAAAAACAAACAAACAAAAAAAACAAACTATGGAAAACCCAAAATGTAATCTTAAGGTATGTTCAGATAACCCATAAGAAGGCATGAAAAGGAAAACAAAATAAAGTGTCTTTGCACCCTGACATGTCAATAATTATATCAAGTGGTCTAAATAGGTCCCCTTAAAGCAGACTGGTGTGGTGGATTTAATAACATGACCCAACTATATACTTTCCACAAGAAACTAACTTTAATGTGATACAGGCTGGTAGAAAAAAAATTAACCATAGTGTAGACATCAGAAGAAAGTAGGACTGGCTATATTAATAATAGGTAATGTAGACTTCAGAGAAAAAAGTACCAGGGATTATAGTTTTGGGGAGGAAGCCCACAGAGAAGACTTCTGTTGATGTTAATCTCGATTGCCTGGATAAGGTGGTTTTACAGGTTTCTGAAATAAGTTACTCTTTATATCCCACCTCCCCACTGTACCCTTTGGAAGGATGTCACTATGTGCATCGCAAGTTACTCATAATACAGTTATGCTCCACCTCCTTGAGAGTAGAGTACAGACATTACTTGGAGTTCTTCCCAAAAGACTTGTCTACTCTCCACCATGTATTTCTAGCACATCAGTATGGACTCGGATATATTTTGTCTTTTGGTGTATAATCTGGTACTACTCAGTTGCTTACATTGCTCTAGCATTGGCGATTGTGTCCTGTTGGCAGCCCCAAACTGCTGAGTTGTTGGATTACATTTGTATTTTCAGGCTCTAGAGGATGCTTCAGGCTCATCTTGCCCTAGTTCTTACCCTAGTTCAGGGTAGCTCTTTGTCCAAGATTCCAAGCTTCTTTTATTGGAGAGCGGTATTAGAAACCAAGACCTGTGTCTCTGTAACCCATTACCACAGAGATCATTTCTAGTCTTCTCCTCTTGCTTGTCTGTAACGTCCCACACAAACCATGGAAAACCTGGTTTCCACCGTCTGCTATCCATTTTCATATGGTTCAGTTCCAGTATGCCTTTATAGCACTGGAAGGATTGTTAACCTGGACCCCTGTGGGTAACAACTTTAAAAATTAGAAGATGGTGCTTTTGTGGAGTTCCTTTTGCTTTTAGTTTTCATAGACTTTGCTCATTTTCAGGGTTCTTGAGGTCAGCCTTTTGCCCCTACCCCCTTCAGTGGGCTTATTTTGTGTGTTTGTAATACAGTTACATTCTTCTGCTTCAGCCTGAATTCTATTCTGGGATCTCAATCTCCTAAAATGATTCTTCTTTCATTTGCATACATTAAGGTTCACTCTACTGCGGAATTCTACGAGTTTTGCCAAACGCACAGTGTCGTATCCACCACCATAGTGCCATGCAAAAGAGTTTCAGTGCCCTGGAAAAATTGCCTGTGACTCCTCTCTGCAACCTTCCCTCCTCCTCAGACCTCTGGCAACCACTGATTTGTGCACAGTATAGGTTTGCCTTTTACGTGTATGTATAAATCTGTCTAGAAGTCAGAAATTCAGCATAATTCACTAATCTACTCTCAGTGCTTAGCACCAGACCTAATCCTCTTAACTGAGGGCCAGTCTTGCTTCTGGAGCTCTAAATACTTTTCTGATTTGTTTTTATTTTGGAGAAAGTGGATGCCCAAGTTGTCTAAAGTCTTAGCTGGTTTTTCATGAAAAAGATGTTACAGCTTGAACTTCTGCCAGAGACACACTTCCCTTGGGTTCCCATTGATTGGCTAGGGTGAGGCCCTGGTGGCCCTTACAACAGGATGTAAATCGTTCCCTGGAAAAAGCTCCAGTGATAAGGTCTCATTTCCTTTGGGAATTCTGAGGCTCTAGGGAATTCTTTAGCACATCCCTATCTGTACTGTGAATTGCCCTTGGGTTATGTTACACTCTGGGTAAACAGAAAATGTCTGTTGGCTGGTACAAACTCAAGTTCTGTTTTCACCCCCTTTTCAAATTTAGCCTTATTTGTACAGCAGAGAGCCTCATCCCTGCCTCCTTCCTAGGGTTGTTCTAAGAACCCAGTGAGAATAATGATTGGGAAAAGTGATGGCAAGACACCTCCTATGGAAGGGTATTTGCCACAGTGAACAGTGACCAATAATCCCAGGGAGCTAGAAGCGGGGGTGAGCACAGCCAAGTATTCTGTGAGTGCTGGTACCATTGAGCAGATCAGAGAAAGTTGTGTGGCTGGTTCCTCCGTGGGTCAGAAGGGCTGTTGAAACTTTGAATTCCATGATGTCTCATTGTGAAGCTATTGCTTTTAGACAAGATTTCCAAAAAACCTTGGTGGTCCACATGCCAAAAGTCCATGGTCATCAGGTGTTCTGAGTGATGCCGAGCCAGAGCTGCACAGCCCTTGGCCCCTAGAGACAGCCACACACACACACAACAAAAGCCTAGTGCCCAGGGAACACACATTTATTTCACCGAACTGCTGCATGCAGGGCTCTTGCCTCTGCGTGAGGAGATAGAACTTTATGTAGAACTTTATGTAAATCAGAAAAAAATATCCCAAGGCGTTGATGTTTGTCATTAAATATTAAGCACACTTTGTTCGTTTCTCTGTCACTTTGCATGGTGAGTTCCGCAGAAGCCCATCTGCCCGGCAAGACTGGGAGCTCCCTCCTTTGGGGCAGGTGCAGGGCTTCTGTTGATTGTCCCATGTCTAGCACAATATGTGGCATAGAAAAATGACTCCATGAGTGGTGGTTGAATGACTGGCAAGCCCTTCACCTGCATGGGGTTGCTTTTAATCATTCTCTTCCTTCCTTTGCCAGTTAATGACTTCTCCTAATTACTCAGAGCCACTGTAGATTCTAGAGAACCATATGCAGACTTTGATTTTTGTCATTGCTTCTCTTGATTGTAAGAGAGGTCTGGTAGTTCTGTTGTGGTCTGGAGAGCAGATACATGTGCTGTATGGTTTCTGTCTGGTCTTTCAAAGGCTCTTCTGAATGATGAATCAACCCTTGAGTTCTCGTGGAAGGTGTGTCCAGGGGCCACGGTGCCCCGTGTCTGAGATCCAGCCCACTCATTGACTCAACAGCAGGTCCTTGTTTTCCTTCCCTGGGTACTCACTGGAGCTCTACTCAAACTCTAAATCTGTATGATACTCCTTGATCAGCTCTGCTCCGTGCTCTGATGGTAGGATTCAGCTTCATCACACGTACATAGTTATTTCTGTGTATTACCTCCAAATACTCTACTCACATCCTGTTTCCCCTAATTTTCTTGGCTTAGAGTCTAGAGATCCTTAAAACTTCTAACACGTCTCAGTGGAGCTGTGTAAGGACATGAAGGATGGCAATGATTCACGCAGATGCCTCCTATACTGAATCCTAGTTTTCCTGAATCTTGGGTGATTTCCATTGTTTTTGAAAGTTAAAGCTAATTTCTTAGTTTGGTGAATAAAGCCCTCAGAATCTGACCCTAGCCTCCACCTTTGGTCCTATCTCCCTCCACGTTCCCTCATTGTCCCTTGGTGTCAGGATGCTATTTTTTCACCTCCTCAACCTTCCTCTTTCATACTTGTGAATACGTTCTTCCTTCTCTTTGGGGTTCCTTTCCTCCAACACACGGCTCACCAGGCGCTCCCCTACAAAGGTTCTAAAGTCAGTTCACATTGCAGGTCGCCATCTCTGAGACTTTCCCAACATCTCCAACATGTGTTCTCCTTCCCCTTCTCCTCTCCTCCACTCCTCTTGCCATCTTTTGTATCATACAACCTATTCCCCCCAAAATTGGAAATATACTTTTAAATGTTTATCTCTGCCACTGGAGTTTGAGCTTCTTGAAGTCAGGCAAGTGGGTTTTTTTTTCCATCAGTCTTCTCCAGAATGCAGGACGTGGCCCCTTCATTGCTACTACCCATTACATGGTGTCTGAATTAACAGCAGAACTGACCCAGGAGGATCTTTGAATGTGCCCTTAAGACTGACAAGATCTGGAATTGTGAGAATCTCTAATTAAACTGTCTATATAGTCAATCACCATCTTTAATAAGCAGTTTTACAAGAAACCAAGGTAAATTAAAGCAGCCAAGGGAAGAAATATATTTTCCTTTGCTATCCCATTCATAGGCCCCTCTCCCTATCCACATGGTCACTTATTACTTGACGTATCATGTATGAACAGATTCTCACAGGGTCCAGTTTGAGAAATCCTCATGTTCTTAAGTAAGAAGGAATTGTAGGGAATAAGCATACCATGGGTTCTGCTTTTCCTCTCTGTTGGCTTCATAAGAAACCAAAAGGTCAATGAAAAGTCTGGGCCCACACTATTTACTGAACTTTCTTCAGGCAATTCCTGTCCTACTTTGTCTATTTACCCACAAAACCAGGGCTAATGCTTTGTCCAAGGGCTTTAAAGTTTTCTGACTCACAGTTGGATGCTGCTTCTGTCCTGCTTTCTTGTGGGGCAGGTGTCTGGGAGTGCAGGGCACATGGCTCTACTCCTAATCCTGCTGAGAGTAGATGCTAAGAGCCTCAGGAGAATGTTTCCCATCTTGTCAGGAAGGATTCTTGCCCATGGCCCGGAGCAGAACATCCCTGACCTCCTTGTTCCTCAGGGTGTACACCACAGGGTTCAACAGGGGGGTGATGACTGTGTAGGTCACAGAGATCAACTGATCTTGATCTCTGGTGTTCTCAGACTTGGGCTTGAGGTAGGCAATGGAGGCACAGCCATAGTGGACAATGACCACTGTGAGGTGGGAGGCACAGGTGGCGAAGGCCTTCTTCCGGCCCTCAGCTGAGGCGATCTTGAGGATGCTGGAGATGATGAGGACATAGGAGATGAAGACCAGCCCCATGAGAACAACGAGCACCAGGACACTGATGATCACAGTCAGAATCTCATTGACAGTGGTGTCAATGCAGGAGAGCTTCATGACCGGTCGGATGTCGCAGAAGAAGTGGGCGACCTTTGTGGCACAGAAGGGTAACCTGAACATAGATGTCACTTGCGTCGTGGCTACAACCAGCCCAATGCTGCAGGCGCCCCCCACCAGCTGGACACACTCTCTCTTGTTCATAATAACTAAGTATCTCAGGGGGTTGCAGATGGCCACATAGTGGTCATAGCCCATGGCTGTGAGCAGGAAGCAGTTAGTGATGCCAAAGGTTATGAAAAAGAACATCTGTGTGGCACAGCCTGCCTGTGAGATGGACTGGTTCATCCCCACAAGACCGGAGAGCATCCTTGGGAGAATGACCAAGGTGTACACAGTCTCTGAAGTAGACAGCATGCTCAGGAAGAAGTACATGGGCGTGTGGAGGTGATGGTCAGTTCGGATGATGGTCATGATGATGACGTTGCCTGCCAGGGTGAAGGCATACAGCACCAAGAACATGGCAAAAAGGGTGAGCCGGTGCTCGTGGAAGCTGGAAAACCTCTGGAAAATAAACTCCATGATGAGAGTATGGTTCTCTCTCTCCATAGCGTGGCCATTAAATGTGAAATGTGGAAGAACAGAAGGTACATAATTTCAGCAAGGCTGTTGAAGCAAATTGATTGAACTTGGTTCTCAGCTGCAAACCTGGGGATACATTTCCCAGCGTATTAAAGTTTATCTCTGGGTTTATTTAAAATGCTTTTTCTCTGTGGCCATCTATCACCATTTCCTATGCATCCCAGATTCCTTATTTATTTTTAGGTCATATTCCCACAGCATAACTGCACACATTCCCACTTCACCCTACTTCTCTTCTTTGACATCTGGAATGCCTTTTCTCCTTTTCTCCTCTTATTTACATCTTTCCCTGGTCCTCAAGGGCCGATGCAGGTGGTCGGACAACCAGCCCCTCTAGTGCTGTGCTGTTCTCAGTGTACGCAGATGGTCACCTCCCCGCTGGGACCACACTGTCTGTGCACCAATGAGAAATTTCACACCTTCCACATCTGCCTATTTCACCAGCTCTGGATTATGGATAAACTAGAGAATTGAAACAACTTAAGGATTGACTGGAGACTTTTTTTTCCCCTTTCCAAGATTGACTCATACCCTTGCTGATCCTTTAGGAAGTAGAAGGAAAGCCGATTCAGAAAGGGTCATCTTGTTTTCAAGGAGGAAAAGGCAGGTCTTCACTGACCACTGTCCTCTGCCCACTGCCTTCTGCATGATGGGAGACCACTGACGGTTTGCAGCACTGGCTCACATGACATGGTAAACTCTGTTTCAGCTTTGCCTTCCCCAACTAAAAGGCAAATTTATAACTGCTACAACTTAGTAGGCATAAACCTTCTCTGCAGAGGTAAACAGTTGGCACAGAACAGAAGACACAGCAAACTCATGCCTCTCACTAAAGATAAAGCAGACCCTGAATAGGAAAAACGGAGTGAGACTAAAGATATATCATTGTGTTGAAGGATGGGGCTCAGTCCAATTTATGTAATATTTCACATTTTTTGTCCCATTAGACAGTAAGTTCCTGTAGGGTACTTAAATTATATTCTGATTTGCTTATGCATATTCAGAAAGACTCTTTACATAAAGTAAATCACATCAGCGATGAAAGTTAGTAGGCATGGAGACCTTCAAGTTTATAAAAATTTACTTAAAAGACGTTGGCTACCAGCTGTTAATCATTTACACTAAAAATGCTAAGAGTAAAGCTGCAACGGAAGAAATCTCTGAAGAGAGAAAATCATTTAACACTGAAATATGTGGCTAAAGACACTGATCTTCTGTGAGGCATCTGGGCAGAAACTAGACCGTGGGGAGGCATATGACCCCTGAGTCACAGCTCCCGAGTGTTCTAACGATGGACACGGGAGCTGCCAACAACTAATGACACTTCGTGTCCTTCTGTCCACGTGACGGTCCCACCTGAGGAAGACTTGGCCTGTTCCAAATACCAAGTAGGGTTTCTCCTGAGAACCTCTGGGCTAGGGTGACTTCTGAGCTGGCTGATGTCTGTCGTAAGGCAGTAGGATGGTGCTCTGACCTGGCTAACATCCTCCACCCTTGGGAGCCTGTAATTCTTCCACAGAAATCAAGGGGAAGAAGACTGAGCACCACCTTACGAAGATGCTGATCAGAGCTGTTAAACCACAAAAAATTAAAGCCAGCCCATGGGCAATAAGCTCCTTTTCATTTCCTCTTCTGAAGAGCACTTACATCTGTCTGCTTAGTGCTGAGTCGCAACAGGCGTGCCAGGCTGGAGGCGGCCCTGGTGGGCAGGTGCGGGGAAGAGCCCGGTGACCGAGAGCGAGGCCCATCCCAGGCGAGGCTGAGCAGGCAGCAGGCACACACACTGTAGCGGGAATGGCGGTAGCTGGGGTGTTGCAGACATCACCGATGGCGCCTCTGTGTGAAGTCTTCACAGCCACAGAGATGCTCTCCCAGGAGCAGCCAGCTGGGCTTCTGGGGCTCATGCCCTGAAGATATCTGGAGAGCCCCAGGGCGGGGGTGCGGGGAGGATGCAGACAGGCCCCTGGGGCCTCATTATGGGAGGGGCTCATTTATCCAGCCCTAGGGTTAGCAGTCTGGGAACTTGGGGCAAGTTTTTGTTTCCAGTAAAAACAGCATTAGACAAAGCTGATTTATTTGGTTGAATTTTCCTTGTGAGACTCCATAAGCACATCGTGGTTTTTCACAGATGGGCCTTGGAAATCCATAGTTGACAGACACGGGACATTCAAGCTTGGAGTCCTGGAGTCCTATCAGTTTGTGTGTCAGGAAGTTTAGGTCCCTGCCCCTGCTCAGTTGAAGAATCTGGTTTTCTCTTTGGAATGAAGGTCGTCCATCGGGCCGTGGCTCTGCCGAGGGCAGTTCATGTTGCCTTTCTGCCCGCCACACACCCGCCCCCGGTTTTTGGAAGTGGCAGTCTGTCTGTTTAGATCCAAGGACCCTCTCTTGGGGTCAGGAAACAAACCGCTGATTACTCTTTCTCTTTGCCCAGAATGTACTCCTTTCTCCATGTGGCAAATTTTTAGTCTTTTGAGACCTGATGCCAAATTTACTTTCCCCGAAGACTTCCTATGAGCTAACTTACCCCTTGTTTATTAGCATGGTTTTCCTTCAGTGTGTGCTTATCTGTGTCAGTTCATTCTTCAAATGCCAAGCACGGCCCAGCCCCAGGCTGGCTGCCGGGAACCGGGGAATGGAGGCCAGGCCGCTCCAGCCTTCGGGAACTCCTGTAGTTTAGGTGACAGACAGTGATAGAAAAATGCGGTGAATACTGTGTGGACGCGGAACCGGGAGGTGGTGGTCCTGGGTTAGACTCCGGCTGATCATGGAAAAAGTCCTGCTGCACGAGACCAGCTCCCGAGCTCTGGGAGTATTTACATTTTACCACTTCTAAGGGCCTCTCAAGTGCCTTAATGTACTCCTCCTGCTCAGGGGTTTCAAAGCTCCTTGCTAACTGGCCCTCAAGGATGGCTAGCTTTTACCACCAGCACTCTGCCCCTTCCTCCCGCCTGTCCGCTGACTTTGCTTCCCTGTGGGATCGATGCAGCCGTGGTGGGAGGGGTGTTTAGGGTTGATGAGAAGAGGCGGGCAGATGAGATAGGATGCCAATGGCACAGGTCAGGCCAGAGATCAATTGGGATTGATCTAGAAGGGTGGCAGTAGTCCAAGGAGGAGGGACAGATGGGAGAAACATTTGAAGTGATTCGGTAGGCCTTCTAAAGGAGAGTGTGGATCAAGGGAGAGGAGAGGACCAATCATTTCATAAGCTGCTGTCCTCAGGTTCATTCGTGCCAACTTCCGGACACGCAACAGAACAGATAAGTTGACCAAAATGACCACTGTGAATGGGCAGCCACTGGGTGTGATTGGTGGCTGTGGGATCCCAACAGGGAGGGAGGAAAGCTGAACAGGATAGCTCAATGCTTCATGATGCCTTTGCTTTGGGACAAACTAGGAAGAGTTTGGTAATGGGGCACTTGGGTACATGGTATAAAAATGTGGTACCTGGTGAAAACAAGAGGTTGAGCTTCAGAGTCAAATAATACTTATTAAATATGTTAACAAATGTTTGCCTCTGTCCTTCAAATGACCTCTGAAGTCTGACGTATCAGAAGTTATGAGGAATACACTCTCTGTCCATTGTAAATTCACTGGATGTTGGCGTGAGCTGGAAATGAGCATGTGGGGGTAACTGCAGAGAAAAAGCTGGGGGACAGCCAGGAACACCTGCTGTAAGCTCCCTCAGCCCTGCCGACCATGTTGTTTGGGGGCTAGATTCTGGAAGTTCTTACTATGGCTTCTTCATGGCATTTACATTAATGTAGGATTAATTTAGTCTAGACCTACTAATGATGCATTAGAATTGTCATGGAGTCAACAGATGAATGGATAAAGAAGATGTGGCATATATATACACAATGGAATACTATGCAGCCATCAAAAGAAATGAAATCTTGCCATTTGCGATGAAGTGGATGGAACTAGAGGGTATTATGCTTATCGAAATAAGTCAACTGGAGAAAGACAATTATCATATGATCTCCCTGATATGAGGAAGTGGAGATGCAATGAAGGGGCTTTGGGGGGGTAGGAAAAGAATAAATGAAACAAGATGGGATCAGGAGGGAGACAAACCATAAGAGACTCTTAATCTCAAAAAAACAAACTGAGGGTTGCCGGGGGGGGGGGGGGTAGGAGAGGGTGGTGGGGTTATGGACATTGGGGAGGGTATGTGCTATGGTGAGTGCTGTGAAGTGTATAAACCTGGCGATTCACAGACCTGTACCCCTGGAGCTAATAATGCATTATATGTTTATAAAAATTTTTAAAAAATTATTAAAAAAAAAGAATTGTCATGGAGGTTTCAGAACCCTGAGGAGGGCTCATCATAGTTTTAGCTGAGGTGAACGTTGTTCCTGAATGTCATATCCAGGCTGCTTAACAATATGACCGTAGACTGGGTGATTAATCAGCAGACCGTTAGGTCTTACCGTTCTGGAGGCTGAGAATCCCAGGTCAAGGTGACAGAAGATTCAGTTTTGGTGAGGGCTTGCTCTCTGGATTGCAGATAGATTGGTCTCTCTGTCTTCATATGGTAGAGACAGAGAACTCTCTGGTGTCTCTTCTTAAGGGACCCCAGTCCCATCATGACCCCACCTTCACGACCTTATCCAAACCTAATTCCCAAAGGTTCCATCTCCCAATACCATCACACTGGGAATGGGGCATCAACCTGTGAATTGGGGGGGACCCGATTTAGTCCATAGCCATGACGTTATGCCTGTTCTCACACCCCGACCTTATTCTTCTCATCCACAGCTGGGGGCTCTAGTTTTGTGCATTTGAAAACTCCTTTTTAATTTTTAAAATATTGATGGCTCTCCAGCTTTATAATAGTCAAATAATAGCGTTGTACTGTTTGTATCTACGGATAGTTCTCTTTTTCAGAATTTGATTTTTTCTACTTTATTTAGTAATTGGTGCTTTCAGATGGATCAGGGCACAAAAGTAGTTGCACATGTTTTTATTAGTGTGTATCCAGCCTCCACCTGAAGATCGCATCCCTGAATCCTGGGCCTCCAGGGCAACCAGGAGAGAAGGGGGAATGATACCATACATGGTTGACAGGCCAGCAAGTGGACAGAGCACAGGAGAAGGGAGTGTGGGGTAGGAACTGAGAGGGGAGGGAAGTGGTTTTATTAACACACGGCAGGAATAGCCAGGAAGTGATTCTTGCAAGACCCTGGGAGAATAGGTTTTGTGTGCTGAACTATGGGATCAGAGATGACTGGGCGAGGGAAGATGGTGGGGGGTGGCCCATTGCAAAGTCCCTTCCAGGAAGAGGGAGCTCATTCTGTGAATGAGAACTCAGTTGTCCAAGCTGGCTGCATGTCCCTATTAGGTGACCTAGAAAGGAGTGCATGGTGGGGGTGGGCAGTAGAGGAGATGCTCACAGCTCAGTTGCTCCCATGAGCCAGGAAATGTTCTGCCCATAAGGTTTTCAGTCCTCCCAATAACCTTGGAAGGTTGATCTTGCTGGCCCCAGTGTGCAGATAGGAAAAGCAGGCCAGTGAAGTTAAGTCACTTTCCTAGAACACACGTTTATAACGGCAGACCTAGGATTGGGACGTGTGCCCCCAAGCACATGTACTCCATCTACATGGGGGCTACGTGGCGGCCACACATATGGCCCCCAAGCGCATACTCTATGTATAATATACTGCCTAAGTCTCTTCTGTGTCAGGTCACAAGGGAGGAGAAGTGGAGGGGTGTTGGGTTAGCAATCTGATGGGCATGCGCCCTATCACCCCATCACCCTCCAGAGGTCTTTGGCCCACCTTATAGTCTTTGCATCTTTAGAGCTGTGCTGAGTGGGGGGAAGGATGCACCAAGGTTTTCAAGGGAAAAGTCTATTACAATATGTAATTTCCGAACTTCCTGACTGATTTCCAAGACCGAAGGATGTTCTGGCAGGATGTGAGCTGTGTGTAAATCCACTGTGTATGGAACTCCTTCAACAATTATTTTAAAGGAGAAGAGCTGGTTAAAATCATCAGCATGAGCCCGTAATGCAACTACAGACTCTGGGGCCAGGGCACCTGTTCCAGGGTCCTGATTAGGGTCCGCGTGCTCTGACCTTGAGGAATTTACTTAAACTTTTCAGGCTTTAGGTTTCTCATCTGTAAAAGTAAGTTTAATAAAATACCTCCTAGATTAATGGTGAGGACTAAATGAATAAAGTGTTTAAATTAATGCTGGCTGTCTAGAATGCATTCAATAAAGGTACAAAAGGACTGTCACAAGTGGGGACAAACAACCTGAAAGTCATCTCATAATAAAAGGAAAAGATAGAGGAGAGAGCTGTCTGCTGATGCCAGTTGTATTTTAGCTGCTCACAGCTGTCCTCTTTCTCTCCTTTTCTTACTTCTTTTCCTAACTACTGGGCAGCTGCTCTGGACCAGGCGCTGTGCTGGGTGCAGCAGCAGATACATGATCCAAGCAATGGGTGCAGAGCCTGCACCTGCCCCATGTGGGAGACGAAGGATGAATGCGCAGAACGCTCAGAAAATGGAGTGAGGGAAACAGGCGGGGTGGGTCAGAACTCAGTCAGGATGTGGTCTGGGTCACGGGCTCCCTGCAGCCTGATATGACAGAAGACTGTAGGTTAGTCCCACCTTGAGGCAAGATGGGTTGCCTTTTGTGCTTCCTGGGTGGGAGGGAGGTATGTGTCCCCCTCCCCCGAGAGAGCCTCCTACCAGCCAGTGGTGATTGTTCAGAGTGGGGGTGGGGGGAGCTAGGAGCCACGGGCACTCATGCATCCCCATTGGCTGGTGTGGGGGTGCCAGCCCATGGAGGGGACCTGGGTAGAGCAGCTGCAGAGTCTGTTAAATCACCCAGGTGTCCGGGGACAAGGGGGGACGGACATGAAAGATGGGGGCTCTTTTTCTGCAACCCTCACCCTCTGAGAAGTGGTTTTTACGGTTTTTGCTTTATGCTTCCCAACCAGTTTGTCAACCGGCTATCAGAGCCTGTGTCTGGCGTAGCTGCCTAGGGTCCACGCAGGTAGGAGTAGGCGCACGGTAGATGAATGGAGTGGATTTTTCCTTTATTGTCATATGAAATACAGCCTAGAAAGTGTTATGTGTAAATAATGGAGGACTTGTTATTTCAATGCTCCCGGTTTTCATGCCAAGCTCTGAGTCCATAAATTCCTCTGATGGGTACTATATCTTCTTCCATTCTCACTACTAGCTCACTGTCCCTTATGCCAAGGGTAAGAGGAACAAGGTCTAACCTGATAGTTCAGCTCCTGAATAGTCTTTTTCTTACTTGGTTTTCATCAAGGCTGGTAAGCCCTTCTGTTGGTTTAGGGCCTCCCTCTGTCTCTTAGTGATCTTTCCCTTCCTTGTTTTACCCTATCCCCCTCTTTCCTGTTGCTGCCTGGACTGGGTACCTGGTGCCTCTTAGCTGACGAGCTCCCTCGCTGCGCCCCCTCAGCAAACTGTATTATGGAGGCTGACCAGCACCTAAGAGAAAGGCTTTTTACCTAAAGCTCTGAGCAAGACATCCTTGACCTCTTTGTTCCTCAGGCTGTATACAACAGGGTTCAGTAGGGGGGTGATGACTGTGTAGGTCACGGAGATGAGTCTGTCCTGCAGGGAATTTTGGGATTTGGGTTTTAGGTATATGAAGGAGGTGCAGCCATAGTGGACGATGACCATGGTGAGGTGGGAGGCACAGGTGGCAAAAGCCTTCTTCCGGCCCTCAGCAGAGGCCATCTTGAGGATGGTGGAGACAATCAGGACATAGGAGATGAAGATCAGCAGAACAAGGACGCACAGACTGATGAACAAAGTGATAAATTCTTTGATGGTGGTGTCAGCACAAGCCAGCTTCGTTAGGGGCCGAATGTCACAGAAGAAGTGGGAAATGACATTGGTGTCACAGAAGGGCAGGCTGAACACAGAAGACACCTGGATGATGGCTGTGCTCAAGCCAAGGCTCCAGGATCCGCTTGCAAGCTGTATACAGGTCCTTTTGCCCATGATGACCGAGTACCATAGGGGGTTGCAGATGGCCATGTAGCGGTTGTAGCCCATGGCCGTGAGCAGGAAGCAGTTGTTGATGCCGAAGGTGAGATACAAGAAGAGCTGAATGGCACAGTCCGGAATGGAGATGGCTTGCTGGGGGCTCAGGAGACTGGACAGCATCCGGGGGATGATGGCCATGGTGTAACAGGTCTCAGACATGGACAGGATGCTCAGGAAGAAGTACATGGGTGTGTGAAGTTGACGGTTGAGGCGGATAACCGTCAAGATGATGGCATTGCTGGCAAGGGTCAACAGGTACAAGACTAGAAAGACCACAAAGAGGATAAGTCTGTGCTGCCACCCAAAAATGGAAAAGCCTTCACAGGTGAAGTCTGTGACCGCAGTAAAGTTGGGTCTTGGCATCAAGGGGAATCTGGGTCTGAAAGAGATGAAGCGGGAAGGTTGAACATCCAGGCTGGAAATGGGAGACTCCAGGCTCCTCATCAACCACGTGCAGGGACTCAAAACGGGTGTCGCTCCAGGATTCTGAATCTCTTTGTTCTCAGACACTGGCCAGCTTCTCCAGGTCTTCCCAAGTTCTCTGGGACCTGGCACTGGGGGCAGATACAGGGGGGTGGGGACGAGAGTAAATATGTACAGAGAGTGGTAGCAGCAGCTCACGTGCTTGGCTGGAGCAGATGCAGAGCAGAGAAGACTCTAGAGTGAGTGCACAGCACTGGACGTCCACCTCAGCTCACTGCTTCAGTCCAGCAGTGACAGTACTTGCCAGAGCCAGTTGTGAAGGGACATGCGTAAGGCAAGAATTCAAGCCAGGGACAGATCGCCATTGGCGGCACGCTTCTGGGAGGAAGGAGGCCAGTCTGGCTCTGCTCATAGCACAGAGCACGGCCTTCTTCCTGCTTCCACTCAAAATCAGATGCCTAGAAGAGGCAGTGAGAGGAGACACTGCCTTCTCCCCTTGAGAGTCTTGTGGACCCAGGACATTCTGTGACCCAGAGCCTGCTCCTTGCTTCCTTCCTATGTTCCCCAAATACCACTGATTTTTTCAACATCTTTGTCCCCTTCTGTTTGAAGGGTCCTTTCTGCTTGTTTCCTAGTCTCTAAACAACAGTAGAGCATCTTAAACATCCTAAAGGTTTGAAGTAGCAATAGCTAGAAGAAAACAGTGATAAAAAGAACAAAATATTTAAGTTTGTAGAAGTCTCTGGCTTTAACCCCAGTGTAAGTGCAGGGATGCTTTTCTTTGCTCATTTCATTTATCTGCGTTTGTTCATCGATAAAATAGAATAATATATTCTCACAGTGTTACTATGGAGATCATATGAATTACTACGTGTGAAAAGCCCAGCGTAGTTCTTGGTATGTGAGAAGCAAACGGTATGTTAAATTCCTGCTCTTTCATGCAGCCTCCCCTTCCCACTCTCTACTGGGTTCTCCTCGGCCAGACCCCCCAAACACATACACTGTTTCTCATGTTCGTGAATGGCTCTTGTCATTGATTCCTCGAATCTCTATTGACTTAGAAGCCCAGGCCCCACTTCCCACCTCCTGTCTGGTTCTAGATTCTGAAATCTGGATGGGGCTGGAGCTGGTCTGGGGTCCACACACCCCCGTGAACAAACCCCAGCTCCAACCACTTCATGTGTGACCTTAGAAACATTGGTCTCTTCAGGCTTCAGGGCCTCCCTCTGTAAGGAGAAGACAGTGCTGATCTCCACGACAGAGGAGATGGAAGAATTACGTGAGAAGGTGGCGGGAAGGCATTTACCAGAGGGCCCAGTGTACAGTAGGCCATCAATAAATGGTCACCATTGGTAGAGATGAGCACAGATGCCAAAGTATGAATATTTTAGGTCGTTGTATTATCCTCACTTCTCCCCTCCCAAGCCTGGCTCAAGGTTAGAAGGTGGTTGGTCTTCATCTAGAACATATACAACAGCTTGTGGGGTTGAGGGTCCTTCTCTAGCTTTTGGAAGCAGCAGGGGGGAGGAGGAGGTGGGAGGGCAGGAAATATGCCAGCAGGGGAGCGAGTCCCCTGGACAGGGAGGGTGTGGGTGTGGGCTGGGCTGGGTAAGCCATTCCCAGGGCAGCTGCTCTGCAGACATGCCCGTCTCCTGGAGCTCCTGCCTGGGCTCCTGCATTCACAAAACACTGATGTTCGAGCCTGGCCCTCACCTTCCTAGCCTCTGGTTGGTATCTGGGGCAAGAAATGGGAGGCAATGGTGGGGACTTCCATATTCAGGAAATAGGCTTTTTCTGGTATAAAGGGGACTCTTAGGTTCACTCTATCAGAGTCCAATGTCCTGTGGCTCGCCGCCAGCCCTGTGTACCAGGAGCGTGATAGAGGGTGAGGGTTGGGATGGCATGCTCCCAGTTCCCCTGGCTTACCCTGCGTGATGCCCTGAATGCTGTATTTTGGGGTCAGTGGACCAGTTAAGCCCTTTGAAAGTTCTGCCTGAGATTTTCCAGTAGGGCAGGGGAGTCCCTACCGAGTCAGACAAGAGTCCCCGCTCTACTGAGTCATGGGGGGTGGTGACTTACATCTCTCCAGGCAGGGCTGAGACTGGCTCTAGCTTCAGAGAGTAACACTTGAGAGTGTAGACCCACGATTGCCAATGCCCCCGCTCCGTGGGGCAGGCACAGCTTGCACAGATTCTTCTGAAGGGAGGGAAGATCTGAGAACTCACTGGGGTTGGCCGGTTAATTCTGCTCCTGATTGTTCCAGTGTGGGAGAAGCAGAAAGCAGCACCAGGCTCCCCTGTGCCTTCCGTAGCCCTGCCCCTTAGGTGTGGATTGTAGGCTGAGGGAGGACTATGCTCCTGGCCTCTGGGGTCTCTCTCCCCGAAGCCACAGTTATTGTCCCCAAGGCCGCAGTGGCAAGATCCAAATCTCCTGATGTCTGGGGATCTCATGAGACGCAGGGTCATCAGCCTGATCCCACAGACTGTGTGTGCGTGTGTAGGCAGCCTGAGGTTCCCCAGGAGCAAAGCCTTTGCATCAGGATGCAGTCCTGCTTTGCTCAGTTGATGGGGAGGAGCCCTGGCCTCAGGATCCAGATGTCTAAGGGAGCAGGCAACCCACGCACACTCGGATCTCCTGGCCCCTTCCATTTCCAATGTTCTGGAGCTGTGACTCATTCACTCCTAGATGCTTTCAACAAGAGCTCACGGAGCACATCCCACGTGCCAGGTGCAGGGAGCGGAGCAGAGCCCGGGGCCAAGGCGGCTGTACTGCGTGCCAGCTGCGTGGCTCTGCATGTCCCCCTCCAGGCCATCACTGTGTTACAGGGACATCGGAGACCCTCATCCTGAGGAAGAGGACAAGGGAAGCCTGACTGGAGTCATTCCTGCCTCTCCCACATCTCCCCCTACATTTGTGCAAGCAGCAGACCCAGTCTTGTTTGCCTTTCCTGCCATGAGCCCCAGACAGGCTTTCCCACAGGCTGAAGGCGGATCAGACCCCAGATCCGTCAGCTTCCCTGGGACTCGGTCTCCTGGGTGTTCCCTAGTTCTGGTGCCTGGTTCATGCCTTTCTCTGGGACACCTGTCAAAGTGGGAGAGCCTCCCTTTCTAAGAAGCAGCAGACTGAGGCATGAGTACTTGAAAGTAGGGCAGTCCATTAACCTCTCATGTCCCTGAAGCGTTGACTCGGGAGAACCCAGAACCACTTGGCCTTCGAGGCCATGAAGACGAGAGAGCCCCACAGCAGAGAGACACATACGGACTGTGTTCACCACTGCAGGGGTCCAGCACACAGCCCTGTGGGACCGTGGAAACCGTCTGCAGCGGGGGTGGGGAAGGGAGGGCAGCAGGTGTTACCAAGACGTGAAAACCATGGGTTAATCTTGGGCCTAATTTGTCCTTTCTTTGCAGTTTTTCTAGTAGCTTGATTCACATATTTATGCATCTCTTTGGAATTAGAAATACAAGGGATTTGAAACCCATGAGAAAAGAGGAAACCCTGATGGATTGAAATTATGAACTGGAAAATGAGTACGTTTTTAGAAAATGTAAGATTCTTAGTGTATGTTTATCTGACATAAGATGAGTTTAGATGTAAAAAGACTGTGAAAAATCTGGAGTGGATGGAGGATTTTTTCTGAGAAGGGAGAAAATACATTGGTTACATCATCTGTCTATTTTGGCAATTTTGTCTTTTCCGTTCTGACTTTTTATATCTCCTCCTATTGCACCCAGCGACGGGCTATGATACAGTATCGAAAGCTAGTCATCCCGGGGGCATTTTTCCTTTTTTTCAGATTTTAATGAAAATGCTTCTCCTGGGGCAGCTGGGTGGCTCAGCTGGTTAAGCGACCTGCCCTCGGTTTTCGCTCAGGTTGTGATCTCACGTACTGAGATGGAGCCCATCAGGCTCCGCACTCCGCGGGGAGTCGGCTTGAGATTCTCTCTCCACCTCTGCCCCTCCCTGCCACACCCCTGTGCGCTCGCCCTCTCTCTCAAATCTTCGAGGTGTTTCTCATGCTTCTGTCCCCATGAAAGGGGATGCTGAGCTGTACATGCCTGACAGATTCCCTCTGTCAAAGGAAGGAGGGTCCCTTCTGTTCCCAGTCCGTCTGCAACGTTATCACGAGTCCTCTCCTGAATTTTCAGCTGGTTCCTTTTCTATATCCATGGGTACAGTGGATACAGTACCCATGGATATAGTATATACATGGATATAGTATATACATGGATATATACAGTATGCTTTTTCTCTTTAATTGGTTAGGGTGCTGAATTACATTAATAGATTTTTCTGATGTTGACTCATTCATTTTTAAGGAAAACCCTTAGTCAAAAGACCAAGACCAGTATACACGACTGAATTCAATTAGCTATTTTTTCATCTACCAGTTATTTGCTAATAATTATCTCTTAAATATCTTTCTCTTCTTTGCCTATTTTTGGTAACAAACATTTGCAATTAGCAATGTTTTTCAGTGCTGGGGAAATTTCACGCCTTGTCTAAGCTCTGAAGCTGGTATCTTTTCTTGTTTGTTTTTTTGAAAGAGTGGTTTTTTTTTTTTTCCCCCACTGCTTTTCCATTTTTGTGGGGTTATTATTCTAATAAATTTTTTATTCTTGGTATAATTATGGTAATTTATATCTTCCTCTGAATTTGCCCATTTTACATGCTTTTTCAAATATTTTATGTTGTTCCAGATATGTTTTTATAATTATTTTATGTGTACCTGTCTTTGTGGCCTTTTTTCCTAATTTTTAGTCTGATTTATCTTCATTGTTGAAGGTTGTTTTAAATTGATCTTTCCAAAGATTCTGAATTTAAAAAAATAACATTTCTGTTGTTTCATGTTTACTTTGGTATTTAAATTCTACTTAGTTATTATTTGTTTCTACTTCCTTTGGGTTTATTTTGTTCTTTTCCAAGCTTTCTGGATTAGA